TCTCCGTTGCATTATCATCAGTTTTAAAGTGATCTAGTTTAAGTTTTTTTTATTACGTACTTAAAGTCATCAATTAGTCCTTGAGCTGTTGACAAAGCATGCTAAGTGATTTACAGCGATGCAAGTGATTTATTATGACTCCGCCTATATTGACCAACCACCTATTATGACGTAATTACACAACGTAGTTTGGTTTTCATATAAAATTCATTGTAACAATGTCGGATATAATGACTTCGCTTACAGTGACCTGTCGCTTATTATGACCCATTTCAATCAATTTGGTGCGTTTATATTGACCGACATGGTTCTTTACACCTTCGGTAATTTTCGTTGATTCCCGACAACGTTCGGCACGTGGCTCGTTTTTGTTTTGAATCTCAGTGAGTAATTTACATTTAAACACCACGCATTGTTTTTAGTGATATCCTATGTAATAAAATGTCATCTCAACGTCGTAAAGCATTTACGACTGAGGAAAAAGGTGCAATTATATCATCATCATCATCATCAACAGCCTATCTTAGTCCACTGTTGGACATAGGCCTCTCCAAATGCACGCCACTCAGATCGATCTTGGGCTACTCTACTACTACATTGGCAATAATATGCTGATTAGAAAATGGAGAATCAAACTCAACTCACAATCTTTTTTCAGAAAAATGCTTTGTATGACGTCCGCTTAGTATGACGTGTTTGTCGATTCCCTTCGAAGTCATAATAAACGGATTGTACTGTAATAAATAAAACTTAAACATACCTAAATTTGAAATTGGTTAGCACTACGATCTTTTTTGGGAACAATTGTAAGTGCCAGCCTATTGGGCACCATCCCTGACGGCGGAGCTGGGGATGATATATTTTTTATTTTGTACATTATTTATTTATGTAAGTAAGCTATAATTTTTAAGTTTGTGTTAATTTATTTTCTGTAAGGGTATATTAAAAAATAATTGCATATATAATACCGAGTAGATTTTGAGTACCAATCACATATCCATATAGCACAATGCATCACATACCTGCAATTTACTTCAGAAGTTAGCGTGGTAATTGTAGAGTTAGTTTTAATGATGCCTGTCAAAATTTTCTTCTAATCTCACTACCCTGGGTTATTTAAGTAGTTTCAATTAAAATTTAGAAATAAGTTTGTTTTATTTTGTCTTTGAATTTAGGGGTACCAAAGTGTTAAATAAAAAAATGAATAAAAACAGTTCCATTAAGTTTCTCAAGCATTCCATTTCGGCAAGGGGACTTGTTGAGTGAAAACAATTTGCTGCTAATTCGGTTGCTCTATTGTCGTGTCACCCCCGGGATCAAGCAGTGCTGCTCAATGATAGTCTATTGAGTGAAACCTAGTTACTATTTTTGTGAGGTATTTTACAGAAAAATAAATATTAAGGTTAATTCTTCTCTAATAACTTCTTGGATCACAACAAATATCATCGTACATGAAGAAAATCGTATTGGCAGACTTTAGATATGAAATAAATAATTGGAACATACAAGTAAGATAAATATTCCATAAAAAATGGGACGTAGTTTATTTTTTCTTTGGGTCCTTGAAATTGGACATAAACAACTACTGTAATTGATGATATGAAATAGTTAGCCCAATAATTGACTTAATAGAAATGAAGGATTTGGTATTTCTCGAGTATTCTATTGATATGAGTTTTTATTAGATAACAGTACTTAAACATTCATTATGTTTTGTATACCAATTACTGCTGCAACAAGATAAATTTGAAACATTTAAGGATTTGATCTTCAATAACAACTTTGATTTTATGTCTTTACCGACACTGCTAGCCATTATTACCGAATGGTCCCCACTTAAGTCTATTCTTCGTATATCAATAGCAAAAAACTAGAGCTAAAGTTACATCACCAAAAAAAACGATTTTTTATAGAAAATAGCACCAAAAACTTGTTCTCAATAGAATTATACCAAATACAAAGAAATGATATTAATAATAGACGGAATGAAATTTTCGTAACAGTTTTCGAACGTGTTTCCGTCTTATTGAATTTCCCGCCAATCAGCCATTGTTCGCGCCACCGCGTGACGTCATTGTGCTCGTAATGGAAAGGAAATGAATAGTTGGATCAACAATGTCAACGTTGCCTGTAAAACTGTTCCCTACAATATTACGTTTAAGGCTCATATTATGACATCAGTTCGGGAATGCATATAAATCGGGTGGCAAATCGGATTACTGTGTTTTTTTTGCGAACGCAAACGTTAACATTCGATATAATTTATCAACTATAATTTGTGTTTTAGTATATCATGCACTATTCTAATTCGTTTCTTTAACTTTATTTTAAAGAACTTACTAAAAAATCGTGTTTATAAATTAGTACTGATGAAAACAGACTTTTGCTATCAACGTTAGTTGTTGGCAAATGGCAACATCAGTTATGAATATTGTCTAAGTTTTAAACACTTGACAGTGAAATCATCCGATTTTGCGTATTTGCAGCAATTAGATAAAAATGTTGAATGGATGGCTGAAGGCGTATAGATAAAACTTGAATAACTTAGATGGTGTCATTTACTCGGTTTTAAATCTGAAAAAGATGACTTCATTTATTTTGACTTTTGTAAGGCATTCGACCACGTTCTCATCGGAAACCGCACGAGCTAAGTTCTACATGGGTCACAAAATCACGCCAAAACGTTGCCCCAGCTAATAACAAACCATTTTATTGGATTGAAAATACTCTTGAAAACACAGTTTTATAATAAGAATAATCCAATCGAACTTGCTATTGTAGTAAGATCATCAAAAAATAAATCTTATAATCAAAATAATAATTATAATTATTTTTGGCATTGCGTTGGTCCTTTTCTTAATATCTTGTCCCCTCTCCCCTTGTTTTAGGAAACCTAACACAATTTGAGTCACTGGGTTAATTGAGCTTTGTCATATTTTACAAATGAAGCATAGACACTTGTACTATTGTGTATTCCGTGCTATATATAACATCAATCACAAGCTCCAATGTTATAAACAGTAATCATATGACATTTATGTGTTTGCATCACATCACGGAGCGGAGGCAGCAACAGAATCGCAGTTTAAGCTCAAATCATAAACCGTTTTCGTAGGTCGGCTAAAGCTTCATCCCTTATTGAATTTCCAGCAAATGACTTAATTAACTGAACACATCTGAAGACAAATAGACATCAAAGCAGAAGCCAGACTCTGTCTGCTCCGTGTTGGTTTAACCAATCGGGACCGATTCGCAAGCTCCTTTGAATCAGCTCAGGGAATGACCTTATATACATCCTTGGGTAATTCGTTACTTACACCGTAATTTCGGGCTATGTATTTCATTCATAAACATGTATGATTTTTGTACTAATAAATATAATATTTTAATAAAAAAGTCAAACTGCCCCCAATGTTTTGATAACATGAAAAGAACGCGAAACATTTTTTTATCATTTAATAGAACGTCCCGTAGAACAACCTAACCGGTCTGATGCTGAAAGGGAGTAAAACACAAAAGTGAGAACAGTTGAGGCGGCAGAAAAGTGTGACACTTATAGTCCTAGATTGAAGTAAATGCCACATGTTCTTCAAATTGAATGGAAAACCGAATGTGTCAGATTTTGATGTTTTTTTGAGTGGGTATGCTGTTGGTCGCAGATGACCTGTACAGCGTCACCGGGTTTGGGGATGGCGAAATCCTAAGGGGACCTAGGCCGAGAATCGGCGAGTGCCTCTAGAGGTATTCCAGGCGGATGGCATCTCCACTAGGGGGTGTCTCCGCTCCGCCTGGAGCCTCTAGACAACCCGAATCTGAGGGGGTCGGCTCAACTAGAGGGCGTCTCTGAGACTCGGACTTCGGCTCTAGTTAGCCGTTGTCGTGCGGGTCAGATTTTGAGTACTGACGAGAACAAATAAGTGATGAAAAAGCTTGAGCCTCGGTCACTTATTTCAATTATATCGTTGCACAGATTTTTTTAGCATTACGATTGGCGTCCGGTAATTAAGACTGTGGAGCATAGAAATAAATTAGCCTGAAAGAAGACATTTGGGCACCCTTTTGACACGCGAAGTACATACACTTGCGTTATCTATTTCTGTCTGTAGTGACACTCTAGTCATCTTTATTGCCAGTTTGAATCCAATTTCCTTACATACTAACAATAATGCAAAATCACCAAATGGGAGTATTTTTTATAAGGCGGAGGTTCCTTCTCTGGACGGGTTCTCCAGTTTAAGCATTTTAAACTCATGAAATTTCTTTTTCCTCTTCTATTTTAATTCGGCATTCTGCTTTGGAGTCGCTGATTTTAGGTACATGATTTGAAATGTTAATAAGGTTTAAAAAAATTCAAAATACAAGTTTATTAATTAAGATTTCAAGCGTGATCCTAAGCCAACGGTATTATACTTTACTCCTTTGACGAAGTTATTTCAGGGTTTATTTACAATCTCTAGGGATCTATGCTGGCTGGCCGGGACACCTTACAGCAATTATGTGAATTAGTAGAGCCCAATTAGGTAGACTAACGAACCGGGTTTTAAGTTCGGGACAAACACTAGGTCCTGCTTGACCCGGGATCAACTCGGAATAATCAGTCGCTTCTGTCTCGGGTGTTTACTGAGGACTTTATTGTCTTATCAAATTTGGGACGTTATAATTAATTTCGTTGGATAACCAAGCTTAAAAAAACTGATTTGTTTTGCTAGTACATTTGCAATAAAAACTTATTTGACGTCAGCCTTTTTTTCTTAGTAGTTTGAGTTTGAGTTTGTGAATAAAATAGATTTTCCAGTATTAGTTCTGATCAAAAGAAATTGGGAATAAAAAATAATAATGCTGAACGCAGCATAGAAAAAAAAACACCCAATACAACTACGTTTATTACGACTTCTGTCTTAGCTTTTTCATTAAGATACAAATAACAGCTATAGTCAAAAAAAACCTTGATTTACTTGAACATTCTGAATTCTAAAGCTTGTTTTTAATTTTGTTGCCAGAAACATGTCATCTAAACGAAAATCACCTCCTTCGAAATTGCAAGAAGGCGCAACCGAAGAGAAGCAACGCCAACCGGGCCCGGCAAACGACTTCGAAACGGAGTCGGACGACAACGACCACCAGATCTACGACAAGTTCTCACCTACCTGCTCCACCAGGAGTTCTATCAGCGAGGAGGAGCCCAACTTCGAGGACGAACGGCCCACCAAGAAGCAGCGCTTCGACCCTTTAGAGATGACCAACAACCTTCTAGTCCCATCGTCTTTCCTAAGCTTACACCAAGTAGACCTGCAGCCTCGGAGAAGGGGCTCCTCCGAATGCAGTAGTCCCGGCGCTGAACCAAAAGTTTTGAGTCTATGCAACAATAACAATTCATTGCTGAATCACAATAGCGCGTTGTCGCTCGCTCCGCCGCACAAGCGGTCGATGGATGACGTCCTAAAAAGGTTAACGTCAAAAATGAACAATAGTACTATCAAAGAAGAGAAGAGGCCAACTCCATCTACCACACCAGTTAACAAACAGAACATGTAAGTAGAAATGTATATTCTTGTTGCCTTTAATATTGCATTCTTCAAATACATATCTTTGAGCGAGTAAGACTAGAACGGTACGTCATAAAGTTCGACCCATACACACATATACACTTCAAAGGAGTCTGAAGATTAGAGAAAATGTTTGTGGTAAAAAATATACAATTATAATTTACTAAAACAAATTTTCCAGATTTACATTTTTTTTAATTTAACGTTAATGAAGAGCGCCCGTTGTGCACTCGAACTCAGCGTATATCACTACCGCTGCATCCTTCACTACGACCATAAATAAATGTTCTTCGTTTGAAAAACAATCTTTTGCTTCACCTTATTCATCATGTCATCACATATGGTTTGTCTTAAATCATCATCATCAGACTATTAATGTCCTAACTGCTAAGACACCGGCAAAGGTCTTTACTGGATGGCATAGGCCTCAAATGCTTTCTCGAAAATTCCTTCTCCGTTGACAGAATTTAGCTGCCCACGTCCGAAATTGTTGATGTTTTATGTACCTACTTCTTCGCTCTCATTTCACAATAGGCATGTATAGCTTAGAAGAAAATTAATTCATATTCCTCTACATTACATCTCATGTTGATATACCTATGATTCTCTCTTACTTCATTAGAAGCTATATTCGCGCTCATGCAGACATCTTAGTTGAAAACGTTTCACGTAGCTACGTCCAAAATATCACGTTTCTCTATTCCAATCGTAATGATAATAACATTATTATCAGTGTCAATAGTTTAAACAACGACAGATTACCTTGGGACGTCTCGTCTAATTAACAATTAAATGATAAATCTCATCGCCTTTGGTATTATTGGTAATTTCCGAAGCCTATCAATATAATAGTGTTTTGTTGGATTATATTATGTTTACATAGTGACGCGGAAATCATTATTAAGTTTATCTCGATCCGAGAGCTGTTGTAAATTATTATATTGATATCCGCTACGAGTTCTTTTTGTTTGTTACTTTTTTCTCGTTCAGTTCGCTCGTCTTATCTATTTTTTGTCATACTTCCTTTTAGTGTAACAAGGTATTACCCAACCAAAAAGTTTATTGGTGACGTGTTGGCAGGTTGCATTCAAAATTGGATCGCTATTTGATTCGGTATAGTAAAGTTTACCGAAGTATCCACAAGGCATATATATGTAGAAAAAAAAATATCCAATTTAACATTTGTATAGTGGTACGCACGCTGTTTATAGCAACATATATATGTCTCTGTTTAGGTTTATATGTAAAAATAAGATAATTATAAGAGTCCACTTTATGAGTTGAATTTAAACTCTTTCTGTTCTTTAGTTCTTGTTCTAAGCTATTGTGATCCTTCACTAAATGTATAGAAAAGCTCTTTGGTTGGTAAACTGAGTAGTACATGCATGCAATCTGCACCATCAAAAATCATTTACTCGACCTTTTTGGGGTTCTAAATAGTACAGTGGTGTCAATTCTAGCATGATTCTCTAAATTTAAAACTAAAATTAACATCAGTCTCTCCTTCTCATTCTGTATAAAGTATGACAAGGATATACTGTAGGCAAATTTAAGTTTAGAGAATCATGCTAGAATTGACACCAGTGTCTACTTAGCCTTCACTGTCCGTTTTTTACTCTTCCTCAAACCCTCCATCACGAACATCCAGTGTGAGGTCCATTTAAATAAATTAAGAATTTAGAAGCTTTCTTGTGTGAGAACCGCACAAAAACAAACGCAACTGGGAGAAGCTTTTTTAGGTATTTTACAATTACACTATAGTGTATATTTCTGTAACCGCCGATAGCAATTACCTTATATGATTGCACGGTTTTTGATTCTACAATCGCTTATATATATTTTTTAAAGCCAGGTATGCAAATGACTCTACCCCACCTGCTGTTAAGTGGTGATAGAGTCCAAAGGCGAAGATAGCCGGTACAACAGTTATAAACTGCCTCTACTTCCCTCAGATTGTAGGAAGGAGGGAACACGTGCGCGGGCAAAGAATTCTACTTGCGCATAGTACGACAAAGAAATGAGTCTCCAAATTTCTTTGTTCATGTAGGAATAGTGGTCACAGTAATTCGGTGACAAAGTAGGCCAGCACGCGTGGTCCTGAGAAGAATTGTCTTTTTCTAGCAAAATTTACATTATTCTCTAAACTTCCTTCTAAAACAATTGCGTATCTGACCATGCCATAATATTATTACCATGGTCATAATATCCGTATTTTTTCCTAGTCATCGTTATTGTTCTAGTCAAAATAGCCATATTTAACGTTTAATCGCCGCGTTTTAACTGTCGCATGCGTCCGCAGTTATAAAACTAACTACACCGCGACCGCTCGTAGTTGGTCGTTTAGGTCGGATTTAATTGGTCATATTATAGCTCATTAAAAACAATGTAGGGAGACCACCGTCGCAGGACAAGAATAAAATTATGTAAGCACTCCGAGTTAGCATAAGGATAGACTAGTTTTGTTAACACCTGCTTCAAAGCAAGTTTTGTTTTGTAAGTTATTTGCATTGCGATTTATTATGTTTGATATTTGCAACACATATGCATAGTGGGATGTCGAATCTAAGTTACACATTTGAACTAAAGCAATAAATTCAAACAAATCTCGAGGCAAATTTGTCAATTGCATCTAATATTTGATACACATACGAGTAAGCGTACGTCACAAGTTCATTGCTTATATTTTAACTTATAGTGGGAATTACCGTTAGATTATGACTTGTCTAAAGCTGTATCGATTGTAAAGTAAGGTGACCATTTGTTTTCACGGTCGGCGCCTATTCTCAGAAAATAATAGATAAACATAATTGAAATAGCATAATTCAAGAAAAGAATATTTTTATTAAAAATAAATACTGCTGTTGCTGCCACTCGAAAATGCAGATTAGAAGCCTGTCTGTTGCTTGGGTCGCGTGGAATTGTGTTGTAAAATTTACAATTGGATATTACCTTAGTTAAGTGAGTATTTATTCATATTTTTCGTATTATCTGATAAGTAAATAATAGTCAGTTCAAAATAGTTTTAAATAAGTCTCTCTTTTTTTTGCGGAACCCGTCAGGTAACGATTACCATAACAGGTGTGCACCTTCCATTTATATACATTCAATCAGATCATGTATTTTTAATCCCCTCAGGTTCGAGTGGTTTAGAGGCTCCAGACGGAGAGGAGACTCCCCCCGTGGGGAGATGCCATCCGCTTGGAATCTAGAGGCACTCGCCCATGCTCGGCTTGAGGTCCCCTTAGTATCTCGCCGTCCCCAAACCCGGTGACGCTGTAAAGGTCATCTGCGACCAACAGCATACACACACTGAAAAAAAAAATACAATATAAGTTCATGTCACTGTTTTTGATTTATATGTACGTATAAATCAATCAATAAAGCGCAAGTATTAAAACCAATTACCATAAAGGTGCGTTGCGTTATCGCGCTTTAGAGTTAATCGATGTAAATTAATCCCTCGTTAAGATCTCGCGACTATAATGCGATCTTTATGCGTACATCACAGAATATTGGGTGAACATCGATTTAACTATGAGTTAAAATAAAATGTCATTAAAATGTACCTACTAAATCGCAGACCAACTTAGCAAGAAATTTGCGCAAGATTCTATCCTCACCTCATACGTATGCATCCCGTTCGCTGGTTGGCCGAAACCGCGAGTGACGTCACACCACTCGGGTCCCGTAAATGTGGTCAGGTGGAATTTATTTGCAACATAAAATTTCATTTGCTGTAAATTATTATGGCTCGTAGTAAATGTACTGTTTGCGCATAAAACCAAAAATACTATCGTTTTACATCATTTCCAAGTGGCTTATGTAACGTTGATTTACTTAGTGTATTTTTTAATATTAATATACCTACTTGCATAGCGTTTAAAATCTTCTAGTTTACGATGTGGTTGTAATATGTCATACCATTAATTTGATTATCAATAAACTCGGTAACTTGAACAGCAATTATTTAACAATGTCTTTTTTAAATAAATCAAGTTTCAACGGTATCTATAGAGTATATATGGATTGATTTATTTATTTATTGACGGTTCGCATCCTTTCCAGGATACGTTGTCTGAATTATGATTTTATTTGTGTTATAATTTTATCCTAAAAGGATGCGAAGCGTCAATAACAAATAAATCAGTGCAACTGTACCGTTGAAACTTATTTTATTTAATGAGGGGTGTGCGTGAAATCTTTAGAAACAAAAATGTTTTTATCTAAAGAAAAGTTTACTAGAAAAAAAAATCCACGCGGACCAGGCAGCGGACGGGACTCGAACACGCATCCTTCGCTATCCGGGCGAATGCACTGACCATTATGCTACCACGGCCCTATTAGCCGCGTTTAAACATCTAGCAGTTAAATGCTTAAAAAATAAATAAAATCATAAAAATGTTTCTTTTTCTTTTAACAATATACATATATCAAATTTGATTTCTATGTTCTCAGTAATTTATTTTAAGACTTTTTTGACAGTAGGTGAAGTTAGCTACACACTTTTTTTTATCAAACAAAGTATGCTCTAGCATAGGTATTCTGAAAGATGCAGTTTTACTTACGATCTCATTTATTCAGATTTCTGACAAATGTCAAATATCTAATACTGGCTGCTTCTACAGATACAGCGACATTTTGCCGTGTAAAGGCGTAATCCATATCAAACTAATGTCTGAAATGGCAACTACCGAAATCGGAAGTGAGATTTTATTTTACAGAATCAAGAAGTTAATTTATTAACATACACACATAAATGCTGTTTATCTCTTACGGGATTGGAAGAGCATATAGTGCGAAAACACTAGCCACAGATATTACTTAATCGATTTAACGAATTACTTTACATCAATTATCATATCAATTCAGGAACAAAGTCCACCAGACCACTGTAATATAATAAACAATAAGATAGATCTTCTATTCAAAAGTATGTTGCAATTTTAATTGTTACAAATACACCAAGAGTTACTTATACTGCACTA